TCTATAGCTCAGTAAGTGCCCGGTGCTGCATGGTGGGAAGTGAGTCCCTAGCCACTGTGTGTGGGGCCAATGGCAGGAGCAGGGAGGCAGGTGGCTCACTTGCAGCGTGTTGGGTACTGATCCTGAGTCCTCCCTCCTCCTCCTCCTCCTCCCATCAGCTGAAGGCCAGGTTCCAGTGACGCTTTCCCGGGCCCTGCTGGATGTGCGTGCCCAGTGCAGTCTCCACAGCTTGAGGATCTCCTGAGGCTGTCAAGGGGGGTCTGCTAGGGAGGCTGTGAGGAGATGCCCATGGGAGGGGCACTGGGCCTTCTGGGCCTGTACAGGAGTGGGGCAGGCTGCCTGTCCTCACCCCCATCCTGGGCTCTCTGCCCAGCTACCTGGGCAAGCCGTCCAGTGGGAATCATATCGCAATATTCTCTGTAGCTCTGAGTCTTAGGTGTCCTCATCTTTCCTCTAAAGTATCTTAGTACAGAGGACCTGGCTGGCTGGCAACTATATCCTAGATAGCCTTGGGCCTGGGGGTTGGGGGGGTGTGACTGTGGCGTCCCTTTGCAGCCCCTGCTGAGGGCTGGTGGCACTGAAGCTGTCGTACTCCATTTCCTTCCTAAAGTGGCATTTAGGGAAGATAGACCCCCCACAACCCTTCCCATGCCTCTGGGTGGAGGGTGTTGGTGCCCTCCTGGGGAAAGGAAATGGAAGCAGAAGAGAGAAGTAGTTTGCCACAAACTGGGGTCATGTCCGTGGCAGAAGGACACAGTGCATGAAGGTGGCAGATATGTTCCCAGGCTGCGGTTGTGTTCCCAAAGCCTAGGAGGCCCCTGTCCGCATTTCAGCAGCATCTCTGCCTTCCACCTCCCTGCTGCCCTGTCTGGGCCTCTTCGGCCCTTGTAGTATAGCATCCACTCTTCAGACACTCCGCCAGCAGTCATGGTGCTGAGTGCTCAGAGGCACCAGGGGGTCCCGAGAGCTCATCGGAAACGTTCATGGTTGTTGCTGCCTGCAGCTGCCCAGCTTGCTGCCCCACAGCCTGGCTGTCAGCAAGGGGCTCTAAGCCCCTGCGGGGAGGCCCTTCAGTGACAGTCTCCATTCAGAAGTACCCTGGGAAAACCAGAGGCTGGCCCCGGGTGGGGTCAGCAGAAAGCAGAAGCGGTACAGTGTGTGGCCACCTGCACACGCTGTGCCTGCCACCACCAGTGGCATGCAGATCCCCAAAGCCCCCACTCTCAGGAGACTCATGGGACCAGGAGAGGGCTGCCCAGAGCATCCTGGGAACCCAGTCACCGGTGGGCATCTTCGAGATGCATGCATTTGCACACACTCACACGCGCACGTAGGAACCTAGGCACACACCACAGGCAGACAGCGATCTTCCGTCTTGTTCTGACTCGCTCACCACAACAGGGTGGAAAAGCAAATGTTTTTGTCCCTGTGCTGTGGAGGAAGCTGAAGCTCAGGCACAGAGGAGTGACTCAGAGTAGATCATCCAGCCTGCCAGGCAAGGCTGGCCATGTGACCCCAGGTCAGGTGCCTCAGAACGAGGGAGGGCCAGCATCTTGGGAAACAAAGGCAAGAAGGGCTTCTTTCTCATGGTGCTCAACATGAACCTGGGGCAGAGGTGACCTGGAGGACTGACCACAAGGGAGAAGGTGACTTTAGGAGGGCGGTGACGGGGGGCAGGGGGGTGACCATAGGAAGTGGGGTGATTAGAAAGACAAAGCTGTCTGTAGATGACTGTCCCCAGAGCAGGTGACCACAGGGGATGATCTTGGGGTAAGGAAAACAACCACAGGGAGAAGTGGCCACAGAGGTGGCCACAGGGGAAGCGATGCCTGTCCCACAGAGAAGGATGGGGTACACCCTATGTCCCGCCTGCATAAAGGCCCTGTGTGCCAAGCAGTTGAGGCTAGTGCTTCTGTAGGCAGCAGGCAACCTTCAGCTGTTGGAGGCTACCTGGCTATCATGGCCTAGAACCTTAGAGCCTCCAGTCCCTTGGCCGCAGGGCCTGGCTTTTACCCTCGGCCCTCCACCGTGCCTGGTGGCTTATGTACCCGTGGTTCAGCCCCCTCCCACCTCCTGCCCCCGCCCCCGCCAACACGGAATAGCCCAAGTTGCAACCATGGCTGACCCAGTCGCTGAGGACAGGCTGTGCTGAGGGCTATGTTTGTGATAATGGATGTTAGCAAGGCTCAACTGCTCTGTGGAAAGCTGGCTGGGGCTTGTGTGGACTGAAAGGGCTGAAGGAAGCCACTCTCAGTTGGGAGACCAATGTGGACTTTCTCTTGTCACTCAGTAGTGTCCTGCGTGTCCAGACCAAAGGAACTTTACATTAAAACTGGCTCCTGCAGCCTTGGTGTGCTGAGTTCTGTCACAAAGCCTGCTGGTGAGAGGCCCCTGCGGGGAACTGGGCAGCACAGGTTCTGGGGAGGACAGCTTCCTGCTCAGCCGGTGGCTGGGAGGAACTTGCTAGCAAGTTCTAGCTTCTGGGTCTGTCCAAGTTTGATTCAGACACAACATTCACCCTTCAAAGTACATAGGTACCCACCTCTCAGCTTTCCTTCCTGGGCTCCTGAGCCAGGATTGGGCTGTGGACCAGATGGGGAGAGTTGGGAAGGGAGGCAGCTGACTGTGTGCACTTGCTATAAGCAACAAGCCTAGCTAGGTCTGCAGGAAGATTCTCGGTCCTGCTTAGGCTGCGGGATGAGTTTGGGGCTGTGGCCTTTGGTTTTAGGACATCAATAGGCCTGGCGGACAAGATCTGTAATGAGGGCGACATTTACACTGCACTGAGGGTCAGAGAAGCTTTCTTGAGCTCCCGGGACAGCTTGGTGCCACAGGGAAGGTCTCTGGAATGCCCTGGGGCTCCCAGCTCGACCTCCTCACCCCTGGGTGTAAACCAGCCCTTGGAAGCAGTTCCTTGTTCTGTGCCTCTGCTCCGTGCTTAGGCGCCACCCCCCTGACAGGCTTCTTGTTTAGAGACTTGAGGCAGCAGCCTGGGGACATGGAGAGTGTAAAGACTAGAGAATGGTTTTCCAGACCTCTGCTCTTCTCCTCCTGGTGGACTGAATGGAAGGGGAATCGGTTTTGCAGCAGAATCGACTGTGAGCGAAAGGCGGGCTTCCCACCCTAGACCCTTCCCACGGTCTTTAGTAATCTTTCAGTCAAGAGCCGTGGCCTGGATGGGTAGATGGCTCAGGCAGCAAAGTGTTTGCTCTGCACAGGACCTGAGTTTGGTCTCCAGTACACATGCATTAAAAAAACCAGGCATGGCAGCATGAAAATGTAATCCCAGCTCTAGGGAGGCAGGGACAGGGGACCCCTGGGGCTTGCTGACCTGCTGGTCTTGCCGAATCAGCATGTTCCAGGTTTAGTGAGAGACCTTGTCTCAAAAAAAAATAAGGCAAAGGACAATTTAGCCAGACACCCGATGCCAACCTGTGTCCTCCATACTGTGCTCCCCCCCACACACACATATAAATAAGCCATAGTTTACAAAATCTGCTGGGACAACAAGTTTGAAGTATCGGTGGACACTAACAGCCATGATCACCACAGCCAGTCTGGGCAGAAGGGCAGAATCTTGAGACTATGATTTGGATTCCTGGATCCAGCTGTGCCTGAATCTCTGCTCTTGGCAAAGCCGTTAAGCCAATTACTCCTCTTTAGACTTCGCCTTGCTGTTCCAAGTGTCACAGCACGGGAGCCAGCACAGGCGGACCATGTGGACTAAATGGAGATGTCTTCCCAGCATGCACCACAGTAGGAGAACCACACCATTCCCCAGGGTGAGCAGAGAAGACAAATAAATTTGGCTGCTGATAAGGGGTGGGCTTCTCCATCCAGGTCCTCCCAGTTCTACACAAGCTGTTGATTCAGCCTGCTGTCCCAGTGTCCGGCTACAGTGCCAGAAATGGCCATGGCGTGTCAAGTCTGACTCACTGCCAACTGCAGGGAGCAGCAGGAACCCCAAGTGTGCCGTGTGCACAGGTCTTCAGCTCACTTTGTCTCTGCAGTGACCTCCGTACCCCTTTCTTCATCCTCCATTTGCCCTTAAAGCACAGACAAATGCAGCAGTTGGACCTTCACACAGATGAAGACAAGAGCCACCAGCCACGCTGGGGACAATACAGAGCCTCTGTATTTTGGGGTAGCCGTGATGAGTTGAGTTTCTCTCCCCTTCCTTAACTACCCTTGGGGAAGATTCCCCTAGTGTCTGGTCAGTGTGTGTGTGCATACATGTCCATGTTTCTGTGTGTGCAAGAACATATGTAGGTGTAGATGCTTGTATCTATAGAGGTCAGAGATCAGCCTTGGATACATTGGTCCTTAGGAGCAATAAACCTTGGTTTTTGAGACAGGTCTCTTGCTGGCCTGGAAATTTCCAGTATGGCTCCACCGATGAGCAGGGAGGTCTAGGGATCCACCTGTCTTTGCCTCCCAGGACTGGGATTACAAGTACTCACCACCATATCCTTTTTGTTGTTTGCTTGTTTGTTTCCCTGTGGGCTCTGGAGATCAGACTAAGGTCCGTATGCTTGCATGGTAAGCACTTGGCCAACTGGGTCGTTTCTCTAGTCCACATCTGATCACTTTTAATTGGCCATGCGTGGAGAGGTCCAGTTTTACGTTTCTTTACTGCTGGCTCCTGCTTCCGAGTTAGCCTTTTAATCTCTCCAGATGTGGTGTGGGGACAGAAACATGATTGCCTTTGCCTTTATTCTGCTCCGTCCTCTGGGGTATCCCCTTCGCATTCCCCACCTCTGTAGACTTGGCCGTTGTCTCGCCCACACATAGCCTGGGCAGAAGTGGGCCTCACTGAGGAGTCCTTCAGGGAAGGCTGGCTTGATGGGCTTCTTAGGATAATAGTACATGTACTGGGAAACACGTATGGCCATTTTTAGCTGGGACTTGGGTTCACTAAAATTAAAGACTTGTGGCATCTTCTACAATGGCCCCGGGGCTCTTCACCTAGGTTAGTCACAAAACATCCTGTCCCCCAGGAACACAGAGACAACCAGCTATGTGTTTATTTGTCATAAGAAATGGTTGCACATGATTGTAGAGAGAACATTATACAGGAAAGCCCATGGGTGACTCCAGTTCAAGTCTGAAGATAGGTAAGCAAAACAGCACAGCTTGAAGGACTCCAGGCAGAGACTGAGTCCCCTCCAATGGCTCTTGGGTCTCCCCAGGCCGCCAGCAGACTGAAAGAGTCCCTCATATTGGGGAAGCCTGTCCCTCTCTCAGCCACCAATTCCCAGGCCATCCTGCTCACGCCACAACCTGAAGCCATGCCTATCCAAGCAGGTACCTCCTGGGCCAGGAAAATTAACACAGTATATCACACATCACTGGACTCTAACAGCACTGAGGCTGCTGGTCTGTGTGATGGTGTTGGCCGCCACCAGGTCACACGTGACAGGTTTCCACCTTGCTCCATCTTGGCTCTCTTTGCTGAGGGTGTTGGCTCTGATTTATGGGGAGACCCTGTGGAGATGTTGTGCATCACACGGCCGGGGTTTAGCCACAACCAACAGCCATGATATGCTGAAGCCTCCAACTACACGAGACACTTCATAGAAATGTATTCCCAACCCAGTCACATGTAGCGTCTCAGTTACAAGTTCATGATAGTCACTGAGCACGCGGACCCATAGAGCTGGGGCTTCCAAACTCAGGGTGCTGAAGCCCATAGGCTTTGGGGTGATTTCCTGTACCATGAGAGAACCGGTTCCCACCCCACCTCCCTCTCCCAGATGCCTTACCAATGTGTGGGGGAAGGGCACTAGTGTCGGCCAAATATCTACTTGTCTTTTTTCACACTCCCTAACCTTCCTTGTGATTAGATTAGGATCACATGACCAGCCATGGCCAAGGATCTCTGAGCAGAAGTAATACATGTACCTTCTTGCCAAAATATTCCTGGGCTGTGGGCCACACTGCAATCTTCTACTCCCGCCGTGGGCCTCTGGAAAGTATGTCTGTGGAGGAACCAGGATCCCCCAGTGCAGGAAAAGCTGACCTGTCCATCCAGTCCTTTGGAGTGCATTGTAACAGCGTGGAACCATAGGTTTGGGAGCGTTGGTTACTGAATAATTGCCAAGACTAACGAATCCACAGCAGATTACCAAGGGGTTACCAAAGCCCGCATGTGCATGAGGCCCATAGGAGGTGTCCCATCAGGAATGCAGGCTCAGACATACTGGAGAGTCCTCTAAGATGCTATCACAAGGCTCTGGGAAGAAGACTAGCTGTGCCAGCAAGCCGTCCAGTCCCTGCATTGTGATGGGCAGGCTGTGTGCACGAGGCAGGAGCCTGGTGGGAGACAGGTAAGGCCACCACCCCAGCTTCTACAACAAGAGCACGAGGTACTCTCTCCAGCAGGTGACCCTGTTCTGAGTAGTTCTTACAGACCCAGAATTCCAGGCTAAGCCCTTTGGATACATTATTCCAGGTTGGTATGCAGTGAGCTTCTGTATGCCTGGGAGCTTTGAACTCTTGCATTGACCTCTCTCTAACGAGGCTGTGGAGACAGACACTAGTGAGTTCTCTGCCTTCCTTTGTACCTAGTCAACAGGAAACCCAAAAAAACCTACGACATTCCGGAGAGGTAAAGTTGGGATGTGATGATTTAATGGATCATCTGGGCCAGACTGAAGTACCCAGTGATTAGTCAGATGTTTCAGAAAGTGTTTGCCATCACCTGCTGTCAGTCAACTTGGTAAAGAGGCTGGGCCTCCAGTGTTTGGCTGGGCGTGGCTCAGTCAGGAGGGACCCTAAGAGCAATCCCCAGGCTTCTCCAAGGAAGGAATTTTGCCTTAAGACTTCTATAGTCTCCAGCTCTCAGCCCGCCTTCAACCTGTCCTTAAAATAAATAGATGTCACCTTCCATCATTCAGGTGTGCATTCTGTCTCATTTGTCAGCGATTTAATGTCCTACACCCAACTGATCAGGGACGGGGACTGAAGTCAGGATGCTGCCGCAACGCAGGCAGACTTTGTTTCCTCAACTGACCCTTGCAAGCAGATGGCTGACTGGCACTGTGTGGAGTGAGTTTCCAAGCTCTTGGGACGGCACATGTGGGTCATGAGCAAACACTGACATTGCATATATGACTTGGGCATCCGGCTGGCTGAGTCCAAGTATGTGAACCCACTCACAGATGGGGAGGACCATCCAAGGCCTGTAGTTCATTTCTCTGGAGGTCCCTGCATTTAGTCTATACTCCAGGGGGCGAGGGCTTGCCAGTGTCCTTTCACTAGAAGCCATAGCTGCTGTCAGGCGGCTCCAACTACTGGTCTCTGAGGCTCTCGGGTCAGTACTCACTCTCTGCCCCTTCCCTACCCCGTCCACACTGATATTAGAGGCAGCCCAAGTCCTCCATACAGGCTCCTTGCGAAGAGCTACTCAGTGACCCCGCATTAACAGAGCAGCAAGTCCAGTCCTGCTCTCCTCACAGGGTAACTGCCGTGGAGGGGACTTCCCAGACCTTTGAAGCCGTTGGCAACTGGGAACAACTCCACTCTCCCTCCAGTGTCCCAGCGACTGGTGACGACTTTAAATCAAGAAATCCAACCAGATTCTGGAAACGTATCTTGGCTTTTTTCCCATTAAAGTCAGCTCCCCACAGCAGCTGGAAACACCGGAGGAAACAGGAAATCCAGGACCTTCCACGTTCCTCCTGGAGGAGAGAGATGGGGCTTCTCCTGGACGTGGCACGGGATGCAGGAGGATAGGGGTTTCTGTCCTGTGCCCTGGGGACTCTGTCTAAATCCAAACTGGGGGAAAGCCAGCCCAGGTCTGACCCGGGAAAGCCCCTGGGGGAGTTTCCTTTCACATCTTGGCATGTGTTTCCTGGGGGAGGAAGTTCATATCCTCTTCCTACAGGGATTCCCCTTCCTGGGGACACCTCATCCACCTCCCCAAACCAGTCACTATGGAGACCATGTTGCGGAGGCGGAGGTGGAGGTGGGCCAGCTTCTGCCTGACTTCCCTGGGTCCTTCTGCCTGCTTGGAGTGAGGACTCAGGGCAGGGCATCCTGACTTGCTGAAAAGTTCGAGTTTTTTTTTCTCACAAGCTGTGCCTTTGTTCTGGTTCTGAACAGTATTGTGCTAAAATGTTGTCAGTCTTGCTTAGTGAGGGTTTAGTGGCCTCTTACATTTTGTTCCAAACAAGTGACTGGTCTCTTCTGAGGCAAAGTAGGGCAGGGAATGGGATCTGTGGCGTTTACCCTGAATAACTTTGGGGTGTCTCTGACTTCATGGCCACCAGGCGCAAGGACATGGAGCACCCTGAGGCTCCCTGAGCTCACTGGGACTGGGCTTGAAAGTGTGAAGGTAGGCTCTGGAAATCAACACTAGGTCCCCCATCAGCTCAGTAAGAACCAGTGACTACAATACAATGTAGCAGGCTGGGACAGCTTAGTGGCTCAGCAACTGCAGGACAGAAATGGGGCTCTCAGGTCTGTGTCTGTCACAGCCAGGGTTTCCGTGGCAGGGGTAGACTGGAGGCTGGGTTACACCCTCACCGAGAAAGCCGGGACCCAGCTTGGGCAGAGGTCCAGACCGTCACCTGGAAGGTCCTTAAGGCAGTACCCCAATCTCCTCCCAGGTCCCCTGTGGCAGACACCCACAGCTGAACACTAGGAAGAGCTCAGGGAATCCTGCAGAAGACAGGGAGGAAGGGTTGTAGGAGCCAGAAGGACACCACAAGAAACCCACAGAATCTACTCACCTGAGCTCACAGGGGCTCACAGAGACTGAACTGACCGCCAGGGAGCCTGCGTGGGACTGACCTAGGCCCTCTGCAGATGTGCTACAGCTGTGTAAGTGGTCTTAGGGGACTCCTGACTGTGGGAGCAGCGGCTGTCTCTGACTCTGCTGCCCGCTTTTGGGTCCCATTCCTCCTACTGGGTTTCCTCATCCAGCCGTAACAGAAGAGGCGGTGTCTGGTCTCACAGCAAAGTGATCTACCTTGGCCGTCTGACATCCAGGGGAGGCCCTCCTGTACCTGAACAGAAACAGTAGAGGCATGGATGGGGGTGGGGTGGTGGAGGGAGGTGGGGGAGAGGAACTGGGAAGGAAAGAGGGAAGGGTCATTTTGGTTGAGATGTAAAAACAAGAAATAAAGAGAAAGAAAGGAAAAGAAAAGAAGGAAAGAAAGCCTCCTGAGGTATGGAGACCTTCTCACCAATCTTCATGTGGTAGATGGTCTCAAGGTGCCTGGAGGACACTCTCCTATCTTGCCAGGATGCGGCCCCCACAGCCTGGCCCAGCTTGCAGAAATCCTCATCCGGGAGGCCCAGCTCTCCTCAGCTTAGCTCCCTCAGACAGGAAAGCCCCTGGCAGGGCACTAGGAGAACCAGGCTCCAGGCCAGCACAGCTCATTAGGCTGGAGGGGTGGGGCTGTACATGCACACAACATGACACAACATCTCCACAGACAGATAAACATTGCTCACACACAACCGGGAGCACACACCATAGACATACACCACAGACATACAAATTCTACACAGTACATGCACACACACACACACACACACACACCAGGGGAACATATATACCATGACAGTTGCACAAATACACACAACATTCACACCCTAGCAGACATACTTCCGCACTAAACACACACCAGGTTCACACACACACACACACACACACACACACACACACACACACCATACCCACAAGGTCACAGCTTATGCTTCCCTCACGGGACACCCAGGACAGGCTTTTTGACTGCAGCCAGTACACACAGCTGTTGTCAAGCCTCTACTGATCTCATCCTGGACCCAGATGACTCTGCTCTCTTCCTTGGTGCTGCAGGGCTCTCTGGGTTGGGGTCAACGCCCAGCTCTCCACAGAAGACCCTGGTATGTATGCCAGACATTGCTTTCACATCGGACAAAGACATACCCCTGCTGAGCCCAGACAGGCCAGGCACTCACTCTAAAATGCCCAGCTCAGGGAGGCCTTCAGCACACTCTACTGCAGGCCTCAGGCCTTGCTGGACATGGGCTGGTTAGTCACCTGAATTAGGCTGAAGCCAAATTCTCTTGTTCACTGCTTCCCAGTGCTACAATGGGAAGGTAGTGGGGTCCCTGTCCATATTGCGGAGGGTTGCTGTGTAGCCAACTGGTCCCACTTCCCCATTTCGGACCATTTAGCAGAGACCTGGGGACCATGTCTCACCCTCCCAGAAGCCCCTGCTAGTCCCTCTAGGCCTTCCACACAGCCTTTGCCATGCTATTGCGGGTCACTCCTCTTTCCTTTCCAAAGACCAATGGATGCCTCCGGCCTCTTCCAGCCTCGCCTTTCCCACCTGCCACTTTGTCCCTGGCGCGTGCAGCTTCCCCTGAAGTGTCTGTTCTCCCCCAGAGGACCCAGGTACACCCTCTCCTCTCATGGCCTTGCTCCCTTCTCCACCGAAGGAGGTCACACCGATAGCAGGGCTAGCACGTGTGAAATCCTGCAACGTCTTCCCCTGGGGACCACGATGGATGGGTTGGATGTGGACATCAAAATCTCATGGATCTGATAGGCAGCCGGCTGGGCTCAGAGAAAAGGGGAAGCTGGAGAAGTCGGGTGGGGCTTCATTAGAGGATGAGCTAGAGGTGATATGGAGCCAAGGGTGAGCTACGTGTGGGGTTCTTTGCCATCGTTCCTGCTGGGACAGCTCCCAGCCCCCACTATGCTGTCCCGTGCCTTCTTTCACCGGTGTCTGCTGGAATTCTCATGGCTGCGGCGGAACAAGACTGGAAATGAGAAGGGCTCCAGAGTTAGGACCACGGCTGTTCAGAGAGGGCTCCAGGCCACTTCCCAGCGGCTCTCGCCAACCCTGTGTTTTAAGCGGCTGATTACAAAGCGGCTGCCATGACTTTGAGTGCCATAGCCACTCACAACAGGAAGAGCCGCTCCTGGAGGCTTGAGAGATGCTAATATGCCTGGTGCCTTAGCTAAATGGAGTCCTGAGCTCATTCCTCTCCAGGCATCGCTAAAGGTGAGGACATCACCGAGACGGGTCTGCACCTCCCTGGATACACTGCAGGTAGCCTCTTGGCCTCCCTCTGGCCTCCTCGACTCACACTGTCTATGAAACCTTACGGTACCGTGATTTTTGTCCCACCCCAACCAGCAGTTTGTCCCAGAACAGCAGAATAGAACTCTCATAGTGACTTACACCAAAGAGACCTTAGATGGCCTTTTATCCAGGGCTCCAAGTGCCAATGGTTAGTCAGCACAGAACAGTCACCCCCAACCCCTGGGGGCCACTTTTCTCTGCCCCTAAACCCACAGAGCCCATGTCCATCAGGTGAGAGTCCTGATGTCATATTTTACTGTGACACATGTGAAATCTGTGACAGTTTGCCTGTGACAGAGCTGAGAGAGAGGAGAGAGAGAGAGAGAGAGAAGGCAAGCTTGTCTGTCTTTCTATCCCAAGAAACTAGATATGGAGGCCTCCAAAACCTGGCAGCGGTAAAAGTTTCTGGACACTCCGTGACTAAAGGTCAACTCAAACACATGAAGAATCTAAGAGGTTGCTGGCAGTGGCCGCCTGCGTTGTACCCTGTGACCTCACTGTAGCTTTGGTCCCAGACACACAGTGTGCATACTGACCGTGCACGCTGTGCATGGAACAAGGTGTTTTTAACGTGCATATAAGCTTGTCTACCGTTCAAGAAACAATGATAGAAAATAAGTGAACATCTCCCCCTTCAGCACGTGTGTATAAATCAGCGCGTGTTTGAGCAGGGTTGGGATAGAATGCTTAATTTTACAAACTGCTGTTTGGGTTGCTGATTCTGACCTGGAATCGGGACAGGATTTCCAGTGATGCCTGGGATAGCCTGAAACATGTTCCCACCGTTTCGTTCTACACATCTCTATGAGGCAGTGCCCTAAGCACTGATGGTCATCAAACAAAAATACCGACCAACCCCTAGGAACACGGAAGAAGCCCTGAGTCCTGCAGAGCTAACCATTCAGCCACGGTTTCATGCATTATGTAGCGGCAGATGAGCACTTTTGTCTGAGTGTACAAATTTGCCTTTTGTCTTTAACAATTGGTTGATCAGATAAACAGCAAAGAATTACTTGGAAATAAACTTCTTACGACTTATTCTCAGGATATGTTTGATTCCCGTACCCATTTTCTATGACTGCATAACTGAGGTTCATGTAAGACTTTCTCCGAGGGGAAAGGCTCTCCCCTGCGCTAACGGCCTTCACTTTGGGATGAGCACTTTCTACCATGAGAGCCTGTTCTCTGTCCCTAGCCCAGACAGCACCCCTAGACCTACCCATCTGGGGTCACCATTGAGAGGTTCTTCCCACTGCTTTGGTTCTGCATATACACCCTCTCCCTCCCCTGAGCTTCCTGCCTAGGTGGGGATACCTAGTAGGGCAGATGCAACCCCAGCTGAGCAGTTAGATCCCCAGGACAGCCATGGTCTGCCAGCTCTGAGGTAATGCCACCATGTTCACGCTATGTCCCCACTCTGGGCAGGGACAGAGCCAGATCTTTCCAGCAGATCAATGTCCACCCAAGGAGGTCTTGCTCGCCAAATGTCTACACAGTCTCACTGTTGTCTGGTCACCACTCAATGGCTTTCCCCTCCCTTGTGGCTCTGATGGCTGTCTGTGATGACCACATGGGGCAGGTCTGAAGACACAGGGCTGCTTCACAGCCCATCAAAGGCTAGGGTAGAAGATAGACCAATAGATGGCAGCCTTCCTGGAGGAGGTGGTGTTGGCAGTGGCGTCTGCAAGAACACAGACTTCTCAGGTGAAGATATCGGAGGGCAAATGCTTTAGAGAGGATAGAGTGAAGCTTGGAAAACACAAGTGCCTGGGGGCTAGGAGCCAGACCGGAGGCACGCAAAGGCTATTGGGTAGGTGTGATGTCAGTTGAGTCTTAACTGTGTGAGGAAACACGGCTGCTTACTGTTCAATGTCAGTGACATGGGTACCTTTAATTGGCCCCAGACCTAAGGCAAGAAATGCCTAGATGTTCTTATCCTTTCTGCCTGCCAGGGAGAACAGGATGCAGAGTGGTTACCTCCATGTGGCTTGGCCACTGCTGTCAGGGATCAGGCCTTTTCTTAGCCACATTGACCCAGAGGAACAGTGGGGGCCAGCCTGGGGGTGATCAATTTGGCACCTCCTGCCCTGCACCCCACACTTACTGGTGGTGTTTTGCCTCCTCAGCAGCATTTTCCATGAGTCTTCTGGACTCTCCCATCCATCCACCCATCCACCCATTCATCCATCCATCCTTCATCTACCCATCATCCATCCATCCATCCATCATCCATCCATCCTTCATCCATCCATCATCCACCCATCCACCCATTCATCTATCCATCAGCCATCCTTCATCTATCCATCATCCATCCACCCATCCATCCTCCCATCCATCCATCCTTTGGGGCAGTGGCTGGGACCATGACCTACTGAGAAGTAACCAGGATCAACATGCAGCTTCTGGTAAATTCCCTGCTTTTCTTCACTATTTCTGCCCACTGTGCATCTGTCAGAATAGATGTGTCCTATGAGAGAAATAAATCCAAGTAGCTTTAAGCCTCTGGGGCATTGATGCTATTTGTCATTTTAGCTGGCTTTGCCTATGGTGACAAAAGGCTTCACTGTCCTCAACTTGTTCTGGAAAGGGAGGAATTGTTGGGTCACCTGTTTCTCTCTCATTCTGAACTCAGTATAGACAATGCCACCTGAAGGAGCCCTCCTGCGGGTCCCTCTAGCTGCCCCCATGAAGCTTTCCCCAAACAACGCTTGAGTCATCCCTGAAGAGGCTGGCTGCATTTTACCACCCCAGTGGAGCCAGGGCAGAGGCACTGAGGGACCCTCCTAAGCCCTGCATGATTGCTATTTTGCACTCAGGATAGACAAAACCACCTGAAGGAGCCCTCCTGGTGCTCCTTGCCTGGCACCTCCTGTGTACCCGCTCCTGACTACACACCCGATGGCCCTCACCCTGCTGCCCTCTGCTTCCTTCTCCCCGCCCACCTGGCACCTCGGCTCTGTAAAGCTGCTGGAGGATGTCTGGGGACCCTCCATCCTGCCTGTACTGCCGTACCACGCTGTGCGTAACGGGAACATGGTCCGTATCTGTGCTGAGGGATGGAGCTCATCATGTCTGGACCACTGTGATGCCGTGCAGAGACACACTGAGTGCGTGAAGAAAGGAAGGGGGGATGGGGGCTCGTTTTTTTAGTTTGCCGAGCAACAGAGCTAACATTTCCCCTTCCTGTTCCTACAGCTGTAACTCACCTACGGGCGATCAGGAAACTGTCCTTCCATGTGCCCTGTGCTGCTTGGCAGCGGCAATCTCAGCCTGCAGCCTGTAGCAACCTCACCCACGGGTGCCCAGCGATGGGCCGGAGGGACAGCATCCTCATTGGTCTGTGTGGGGCAAGGTGAGTGAAAACAGTCCTGTGTCCGCTCAGCAGAACCCACAAAGCCTGGGCACCCGCCACCTCAAGCCTTGCTCTCAGCTCCTGTCATCTGTAGTCTATAATATGCTCAGGGCCACTGCAACCCAGCCTTCCCTCCCCACAGCTAGACCCTGCCCAGGCATGCCCTCAGCCCCAGACCCTCTGCTATGGGAAAATGAACAGGCAACAGTGTTGACTGTGAGAGCTAACAGGCCATGAGGTCTCTGCCTTCTGGAAAGGACAAGACAGTGCTTGCAAAGTAGACTCTCCACCCCCTTTCCCTCCCCCCCCCGCTCTCTAGCTTCCTCTCTCCTCCCTCTCCCTCCCATCTTTCCTCCTTTCCTTCCACCCTCTGATGAAGCAGTGAGAAAGCTCTTACTTAACAGATGCCGGAACCTTGACCGTGACCTTCAGCCTCTAGGCTGTGAGAACTTCACTTGTTCCTTATAAATCACAGATCTGGAGGTATTCTATTACAACAGCTCTCATAGACTGGACCCCTCCCTTTGCCACCTCGCCATCCCCCTCCCTCCCTGGCCCGTTACCCGAAGCTCCGCTCATACAGCTCCTGCTAGAACCTAATGGCATTGGCTGCTCCTGAGATGGAGGGGGCGACTCGCTGGGGCAGGTGACATCCCTGTCCCTGTGTGAGTAACTGTCCTTCAAGAAGCATGCTGGGCCTGGGTGCTACACAAGCTGGCAGACGATTTCTCAGGACAGCGAACCTTTGGCCCCGGAGCAGGAACCGTGTGGCTATCCCTCCTGACCCGGCCCCTCTCCTCCTTGTCTGGCTTCTGGGAGAGCCGTCTGCCACCTTTCTTTGGGCGCTCAGGGAGCCCTGGTCACTGGTGGAGAACTCAGACCACTAGTGGATCCGGGTGTCAGAGACAGGAGCATAATGGGAGCGGCAGGCGACCGTCCAGAAGACTCCCTCCCTGCTTCGGGGTGATGGGCCTCAGAGCGGCCCTGGTATGTGGGAACGCAGAACCGACTTCCTGATTTGCGTTCAGTGGTGAGAGTTCACACGGATGGCTCATGACCACTTTTGTGAGATCTGCTATTGCTGCCATCCAGATCGCAGATGGCTTCTGGAAGTTTCTGCTATGCACTGTACACCCCCCCCACTACCACTGGCAACACCACTCACCGGTGGAGTCAGAGGTCCTACTTGGAAAGTAGAAAGTTCCTGGAATAAAGAGCAGTGGCTTGAGCTGAGGATCGTTCATCCAATCTGACACCTCGTGTGGAAACAAAACACCTCAACAGAGGTTTCCATAAAGATTCTTTGAAAGGTTTGGCTGACTCTGCAAGTGCTTTAGTCTCTTGGTAGATTAGGCCTTGCTCTGTTAAGAGGCCCCAGTGTCCAGGAAGACACCGCCACAGAGCTTACAGAGAGCTGCCTGTCCGTTAAGAAAAGCTGAGGCCGTTTTTCTAGATGTCATCACATGTGTGGAATTTCCATTCACTTTGACTGCTTTTCCAACCCTAAATATTTTCTATGATTGGGATTCTGTATTACTTTTCTTCCTTCCTTCATTTTTGTTTTTTCAAAGCAGGGTTTCTCTGCGTAGCCTGGAACTCGCTCTGTAGACCAGGCTGGCCTCAGACTTGGAGATCCACCTGCCTCTGCCTCCCAAGTGCTGGGATTAAAGTCGTGTGCCACCACCGCCTGGCTTGTATTACTTTTCTTTCACAGTGACCCTGCATAAAGTATCCCAACATGCATAAGCATGGATCCACTAAACCTGAATCCACCGCAGTGGAGCAAGATGATCAGGGAAGCTTCTGGAAGGACTGAGAGGGCAGTCCATTTCCCTCTCCAACAAAACCAATCACCCCAGCCACCATCTGGTCCCCAGCACACACCCTGCCTGTTTCCACCCCTGGGGTTCTCTGTTGGCCTGGCTACCTAGAGAAAGGGTTTCCCAAGATCCTGTGTGTACCCTGAGTTTCTCAAGGGGAGTCCTGCCCCCTCTCAGCTTCTTGGCTATCTGTAGGTCTTTGAGGGCCCTGTCAGAGGACCATGGCACAGAGGTGCGCTTTTCTCCAGAGAGACCAGAGGGAAGAAAGAGCAGCCCACACTGCTGAGAGCTTCTCCACAGTTCTGGGCTCTAGGCTTGAGGGCCATTCCGCCAAGCAGAAGAGCCACGTGGAATTCTCTGAACATCTCTGGAAACTGGGAAGCATGCAGGGAGGCCCTGGGACAATGTCTTCCGATAAGAGGTAAACGACAGCCGGGCGTTGGTGGCGCACGCCTTTAATCCCAGCACTCGGGGAGGCAGAGGCAGGCGGATCTCTGTGATTTCGAGGCCAGCCTGGTCTACAGAGTGAGTTCCAGGACAGCCTCCAAAACAATACAGAGAAACCCTGTCTCAAAAAACCAAAAAAAAAAAAAAAAAAAAGAGGTAAACGACAAACTCGGAAGCTTCCTGCCGGTCTGTGAACGCCGGCGCGCATCTGCAGTACCCATGCGTACAGACCTCGGCTTTAACCCTGTCCTGCTGACTCTTCTCTGGCCTGGACTCTTGTGGCTTGGAGGATTCAAACTCATTTCCAGGCATCAAGTTGAACAGCTGGAGAGGCCAGGATGCCCCCGATGAGCAGCTGAGAGACCCAGCCTGGTAGTGTAGAGGCACCAGAGCAGGGAGGCGGGGCAGTGGGCTCTGCCCTCCAGGAACAATGGCCCTGTCACCCTGGCAGGGCTCTTCCTTGATGAGATTCCTCTTCGTGTGCTTCTAGCCACTCGGAGCATGAACACATACTCGCAGCTCTGCGGCTGTTTATGCACCCACATGAACAGGTGGGATCATACCAAGGTACCAGGACACAGAATCGAGCCGAAGCATGCTGGTCTAACAGTCCCAACTGAGCACTTAGGAAGGTGCGGCAACAGGATGATAAAGACACCAAACACGCCTGCCCCACATGGTGTCTCAAGACCAGCATGGGCACAGAAGTATTGGAGGGAGAGCAAGGCCCAGCAGCGGCCCATTCACGTAAATTCTAACAGGAAACCACGATAAATCAGGGTTGGAGGTGGGAACAGAGCCCAGCGTGACCAGAGAGAGAAGTGCGGGCTGATAACATGGCAAAGGGCTGTGTGCTGTTGCTGCCTCTGCTTCTCTGTAGAAGTGTGGATTGCGGGGAGGGCTGGGGACCCAGATCTGAGTGTCCTGGGCACTCTGGGGACACCCCTGGATATGAACAGCTCTAGTGACCTGGGATTGGCTCTGCAGATGGCCTCACTGTATAGACGGGAAACTGATGGGCTAGTGGCGGGGTATAGGGCTTCTACTGGCTCGTCTACATCAACTTGACACAGGCTGGAGCCGTTTTGAAAATGCCCCCACCAAATTGGCCTGTGAGCAAGCCTGTGGTGCATTTTCTTAATTATTGATTGATGCGGGAGAGCACAGCCCATTAGGGGCGGTGCCATCCCTGGGCAGGTGGTCCTGGGTTCTATAAGAAAGCGCAATGAGACAGCCAGGGGAAGCAAGCCAGTAAGCAGCGTTCATCTGTGGCTTCTTTCTTAGTTCCTGCCCTCCAGGTTCTAGCCTCGAGCTCCTAACTGAGTTTCCCCAGTGATGGCATGTGACCTGAGAGTTACAAGCCGAAGGAAACCCTTTCCTCCCTGAGTTGGTTTTATCATGGCGTTTCATCACAGCAATAGAAACCCTAGGACAGGGCTGCATGAGGGAGTTTACTGTGGTGACTAGTAAACATGCCTGTACATGTGTGTCCACACACAATGACTACATGCACAACTGAATCAGAGGACAGAGCCCTGGGCATGTGTCCTTGAGGTGCTGGGCCGTTTCTTCTTCCCCAGCAGGGTGGCTTCTGGCTCTAGAAAGCTGGCAACTCCCCACATAGCCTTCCAGCAACTTGTTATCACTGTCTGCCCTTGTACTGCCTGCTGGGATCCCATATAGCGGGGAGGGTCCAGCCTAGCTCTGAAAACCCTGGGACCACCAATCCCTGCCCTCCATCCCCCAGCTCTGTCCTTTTCCAGCTCTGAGGGAGGGGGGTGGTGCATGTACCTGTACTGTCCTGAGCCCACGTTTTATCTTTCGTGGCTGTGTTCCAGCCCTGCCTCATGCAGTGGGGCTGTGGGCACGCTGGTGGTTTGATGAGGGACGACTCGCTTTAGAGACGTCTTGGGCAGCTCTTGCAGATCCCACAGAGCCAAAGCTTCCCCTCCAGACCCCTCATCCTCCTTGAGCCCCACATTATCACATGCCCATCCTGTGTGTCCGTTTCACAGGCCTGCGCTCCACTCAGCAGTGAAGTACCCCTCCCAGTCCCACCACGTGACCCCCACCCCCCCACCCCCGCAGCTATGCTGCCTGCGTGTGAAGAAGTTCCAACTCTCCACAGTCAACAGTCTCTGGTCCTGGTCCCTGGTGTCCTGGGTGAAGGCCTCGCCCCTTCAGGTGGATCTGTGTGCAAGTTATCCCAGATGTGCCTGACCTGAGCAGCTGGCAGGCTGACCCTGGCACTGCCAGCAATCCTGTGTTCCTATAAAGGGTTGAGATGACAGCCGAGGAGGACCCTAGGACCTAGCGCCGTCAGACGGGCAAGCCACATCAGGCCAGTGGTTACTGTCGGTACCATGGAGGAGAGGAAGAAGAGGGTTTTAAAGTTCTGTCAGTGATGGTATGGTAGGGCCCAGCTCAGGGAGTGTGGTGAAACCTCGAGACCTCTACCTGTTCTGGCTCCCATCGAAGAGGACCAGGAAGGGGCCGAAGTCCTGATGCCTGCTAGGGACCAACGCATGCCACTGCTCAGCCTGGAAAGCCTGTGAGGATGTACTCTGGAAAGCCTGTGAGGATGTACTCTGGAAAGCCTGTGAGGACGTACTCTGGAAAGCCTGTGAGGATGTACTCTGGAAAGCCTGTGAGGACGTACTCTGGAAAGCCTGTGAGGACGTACTCTGGAAAGCCTGTGAGGATGTACTCTGGAAAGCCTGTGAGGACGTACTCTGGAAAGCCTGTGAGGATGTACTCTGGAAAGCCTGTGAGGACGTACTCTGGAAAGCCTGTGAGGACGTACTCTGGAAAGCCTGTGAGGATGTACTCTGGAAAGCCTGTGAGGACGTACTCTGGAAAGCCTGTGAGGATGTACTCTGGAAAGCCTGTGAGGATGTACTCTGGAAAGCCTGTGAGGATGTACTCTGGAAAGCCTGTGAGGACGTACTCTGGAAAGCCTGTGAGGACGTACTCTGGAAAGCCTGTGAGGACGTACTCTGGAAAGCCTGTGAGGATGTACTCTGGAAAGCCTGTGAGGACGTACTCTGGAAAGCCTGTGAGGACGTACTCTGGGCACTCCTTGCAGCTCACCCTTTCAGGGTGTCTTTACATGGCTGTGACAGACACAGAGCCGAGCATTTGTGTGTGTGCGGTGTGACAACTGCCCCACCTGGTTCTGGGCCTCCGCAGCAAGAAGAAGGTTCTGGAATGTTCTTCCAGTTACACAGTGGCAGGAGGTCTAACCCTCACACCTGGCACTTTGAGCTACTGGGAAGTTAGGAGCTAGTCCTGCACACGATGATATGCGTGGAACATGATGATGTGCATGGAACTGAGGTTTGGAAAGCTCTGGAGCCCTAGGCTCAAAACCAGGCCTACGCTCTACTCTGGGGGTGCCGAGAGATCTGTGGAGGACAGAAGCCGGCCAGGCTAGCTGCTGTGGCACTGGGGAGAAATGTATGCCCGCCCCTATTCTTTTTCAGACAGCAGCCAGCCCAGGGAGGCTGGACCTCAGAAACCTGGCCCCCAGGACCGTTACCAATTCACTGCTAACATTCACGCTTGTCTCAGCACCGTGGTTCTCCAGCTGAGACCCGGCAGGACTGGTGGGGCTCAGGCTCCTCAGAGAAACTGCATCTCCAAGCCCAACTGACTGGAGCAGGGGGGAGGGTAAAGGCCGCCTCTGGAAAGAGAAACACACTGGAAGCCTCGGATGGTGCTGCTGTTGCCATGGCAATGCTGGCTGCAGGGAGTGGAGGGCAGGTGGACCGGTAGCTGCCACTCAGCCTGGTTGTCAAGTCTTCTGAAGGCTCCCAGCCCCATACCGCTCCCTCCCTTACCCCTTCCTTTCCCCAAAGGTGTGTGAACCACATCACCCCCACTGCTTCCCCTGTGGAGAGTCTCACTCCTAAAACACCTCAAGTTAGAACATCTCACCGGCAGCCAATCAGAGCCCTGTAACCGAGGGCTGACTTCACCTCAGCCTCATCCCACGCCAGAGGACACAGGGGTCAACATGAGTTCCACACTGCTCCAGAGTGAGCCCACCCCTCAGAAGAGGCACCATGCTTTTCCTTTGGACTTAAAGCGTTGAGGCTGCCAGGCTGAGCCGGCTGGACCACCGTACAAAGATGTTTTCTGGACATTGCACCCTCTTGGAGAAAAGCAGAGCCTCTTACCAAGGGAACTGGGATGCCACAAGTGTCTCTGGACCTCCAATTATGTGAGGGAACACTTGGCCTTTCCTTGCTAAAATTTGAGTTCTTTGGGTGTACATGCTGGGGTCCTGCCTGCCACTTCTGATCCAAGAGGCCTGCAGGATGGGTCTCCCTCATATACTCTCTCCCCAAACTTCTGCCTCTCCCAGGCAGTAGGGGAGCCTACTGTCTTCCGAGGTGCTTAGGAGAGACAGAATGGTCAGCCCTTGCAGTGAGGAAGGGCTGAAGGTTCAGCCCCAGCTTCTGCTGATGAGGATGCTGTAAAATCTAGAGCTGGCAGTCTTCCAGACTCTCAGAGGGGAGCAAATATCATCGGGCCCTGGACCCCACTTCCCTGGATCTTGGATCACCTGCCCGAAGCAACTGAGGCGCCCGCAGCATCCGTGTCCATGTCTCAACCGCACCCGACACTTACAGGAGACTCCTAGCACAGGTGGAGCAGATGGTTAAGGCCAGGGACCCAGCGACAGTGGCCTAGAGCCCCGCATCCCAGCTATGCCTCAGAGTGTGTCCAGGGTGCATTCTTAGTAGATAAGGCTCAGAGCCAGCCTAGTCTTAAGCAGGTCAAGGATAGAGCCTATGAGGCTATCTACGCAGGCCCTGGGCTACCAATGAGTGGCTTTGGGCTCTAAATGGTCCCACCCATCCTACCAGGGTGACATCTCCCAGGAGGTACAAGATGTCCAGCTAGAATGCTGTGCCAGCTATGCTGGCACAACAGTCACGTTGCCGTGTGCCAAGCTCTAGGCTGGTGAGGAAGACAAAAGGAAGGCAGTCTCCATTGCAAACGGCAGCAGTTCCTCAGGGCCAGTGGCCTCACTCACCCAAGCACACTTCAATAGAGGAGGGATCTAGAGGGGGGCCTTTGGGTGCCCGCATCACACTGGCGCTGCCTGGGTATTGTGACAGCATCATTAAGGACTGTCAGTGTAGATGAGGGTGTCCCTAAGGTGAGCAGCTCCCAGAGGTATCTCTCCTAGAGTGACCCTAAAACAAAAGTGTCTGCTGGAGAAGATCAGGACCAGATCAGGACCTCACAATGCACTGTGTGCTGTGTACTCTGGGGAGCTGTGCCCTGGGGCCCCCAGGGACAAGGACAGCCATAGAAGCCTTGAGCTGCCCTGTAAGCCCTGCCTTATCGCTCTTCACACAGACTTGGCTGCAGTGACGACAAAGGTCACGGTGTCCCTGAGGTCACTGGGAGCACTCAGCAGGGGCGGGTGGGTAGGTGTTCAAATCAAGGTCCATCGTACTTCTCTGGTCTGACCTCCCCAGGCACAGCTACCAATCCAAGCGGGGCCAGCATACAGTCTTTCTCTTCTTGCCTTGCCCTAGGGGATGCAGGTTCCAGGCCCAGGACAAAGCAAAGCCTAAGGCTCCTTAAGCATTGGACAGCCCAAACTGTCCTCGGGCCACAGGTCAGATGCCTAAGGTAGACAGTGTCCCCAAGGATAGTAGCACCTTCACCAAACAGGAGGGTCACCGAGGCTTAATGCACCCCTTGCACAGCCCATCTCTCTCCGGCCTCCACCTGTCTGCTCCCTCCGGAGCCTGGCCAGGGCTCCCACAACCTCACATCAGAGCAGAGGGAGGATGTTGGTTCCCACAGAAACAGGCAAGCATCCAATTTCATCTCTGCTTCTTCTCAAAGCCTACTCAATGACAGGAGCACCCCACAGGACAGAGACAGACAAGGGTGAGGAAGAGGGGAGCCAGGGTGGTGTCGCAAAGAGATCTGGGCAGTTAAGCAGTGGTGCATGGAGAGGCCTGGGCAACCATCACAGGTAGGAGCAGAACCCCAGAACACACTCTCTGGAAGGAGTCCCTTCCTCATTCCCATGCAGGAGTATTTGTAGTCCATGCATCTTCCTCCTGTGATAGCAAAGCTGTCACCCGCTCAAGTCCATGCCAGAGCATCCTTCTAGACTGCATAGGAAATCCTATACCAACCCAAAGGTGGTGGCGTCGGAGAAAACACTTCAGCGTGCACACAAACCTGGAGTTCCCGGCACACGCCAGCGTGTTCATGTCTCCAAGAAGTTCTGTTGCTAAAATCCTGCCTGACCCTGCTTGCTTAAGTCTAACCTGGCATTTCTCAAACCTAACAGAGAACCTGGTTTGTTTAATGTCACGTTTATTGACATCCATGGGATAAGCTGCTGTGTAGCTGCACCCGGCACTTCCTTGTGTGGAGAAACAGAACTCCCGAGTCACAAGACTGAGGAAGGGACATGGTGTCCTTGAGGGCAGGCTGCCCCAAGCCCTGTGGGAGACGCTGCAGGGTGGGGGTCCTTGCTCATGCTGGGTCACTATGGAGGGCCCTGCTCCTCTATACGGTAGCTCTCTCTCCTCTCCTCCGCCACAGTGAGTCATGCATGATTCATTAATCTTAATGAAAATGCAAATACACCGCCAGCCTCTGCCTTAATTGAAGGCTGTTATGGGACCACGCTCTGGGCTTCTGGGCTGAGATGAACAGACGACCCTTTTCGCTTTCTTTGCCTGGAGTGGTACTGTTGGTGAAGGCAGCACAGACAGGCAGTTTGGTCCCTAAAGAGACCGCCTCCTTCTCCCTCTCCAACACACATGCTCACCCTGGGTGCGCCATTCCAGCTATGAACTCAGGCCAGCTGTCACTTCCTCAGTAGTACCTGGCCCTTGGGTCCCCAACTTGGCAACGGAGGAAATGCTAATTAAGGCTTAGCTTCCTGTGAGAAAGAGCCTATTTCCTTCTGGCTGTCCTAACACAGCCTCCAAGTGGGTCAGAGAAGTTTCCAGATTCCCAAAGAAGCCTTGTAGGGGAAAATTATCCCTAATGCAGCTGAACCAGGCCCATGAGCAGTAGGGAGGGCGGAGGGCCAAGCAGGGGGCTGTTGGATAACCTGTCTCTTCCCTGGCCTTCATGTCCCCGTGTGTGTGAGCAACAGTGGGCTCTTGGTCTCTCACATCATCCCTGGGTGCCCTGAGTGGCCAACAGAGGTTCTAGGGCGGTGGAGCATCTGCACCCCCCCCAGACTGAGCTGAGAGTCAGCTTTGCAACCGAGGGAACTGGAGCTGGTACGGAGCCTGTTCCGTCCAAAACAGCCCTTCATGTCCAAGGGTTCCCATCGTGGCGTCAACCAGCTGCAGATGGAAACTATCTGGGGAGAGATTACATCTGCATGAAGCATGTGCAGACTGTGGGCTCCCATGTTTATTCCCCAAGAAATGGAGAACAGCAACCTCTTCCATGATGTGTTCGTGCTGCTGCGTAGACACGGTAGAGCTGTAGGTTAGATGGGGACCTGTGCCGTTCTGAACAAGGTCCTGAGCAATCAGAACTTGGCGTTCTAGGACACTCCTGGACCCAGAACCTGTAGTCACTGAATGTGAGCCTCCTCCTGCCCCGCATGGCCTGAGACATATGACCCAGCCCACAAATAACATTTAATTTATTATAACTTCATTCCATATAATTAATTATTATCAATGACATTTTAAACCTGTCCCCTCATTCTGCTACCAAATGATCCAGTTCTGAGCTGACAACTAGGGAGAGAGACATTATGTCATTTTGCCACCACCGTGCTTACATGGCTGACGCTGGGGCTGCCTGGCCTCGTTGAGGACATCTCTTCGCATCAGATGACAAGCAGAGGTGAGTCATTGCCATCCCAGGGTGAGATGTTCTGTCACAGAATGTTCTCCATGGTTTGACAAAGGCAAGTCTGCCAGGAACTGTTTTCCTCATCAACTTGATAGAAGTGGGTTTGACCAGCCAGGCTCCAGAGAGTGTGCCATGAAGCACCTGCACAGCGACAGCCGGTAATCCAGTTAGTGCCCAGCCTGCTGCCCTCTGGTAGACTTCCATTATTCTTTGCTGAAAAAAAAAGAAAGAGAAGAAAAGGAGACCCAGGAACTTTGCACCCCCTCACCCATTTCCCATGGGTCACATTGAGTAGGAGGTCCCTTGGCAAGCTAGTATGACACCTGTGTTGTATGAAGCCAGGAGTTCCTGAACGTGGCTTACATGTAGGCTTGGGTAGGCTCGTCTGGATGGGAACTCACTACATCCCCTTCTCATCCTGTTCAGGTGCTGTCGCTAGGTTCTACCACCTTGTTGGTACCTCTTGTCCCCACTTGTCAGACCAGTTCTCGGGACCTTCAAGTACCTCTTACAGGTCCTGGAGTCAGGGCAGCAGGAGCTGCACACAGCTGTGCTGTGGAGTTGGACACAGTCATGACTTTTTTTTCTAGTATATCTTTTATTTTTTATCGGCTTCTCACTGGCAACTCTAAAGCTTTGCATTTTAGGTCACATGTTTAACGTCTTGCTCAACTTTGTCAACTGCCATTGCTCTTTCTGGGGCTGGAATGAAAATGCAGTGCCTACTGGAGGAAAGAAAGCCCACTTCTACACAAGAGGACTGTGTCATTTGTTGTGCCCCACATTGTCAGCAGGGACTATCTGGCCCCACAGGCCACCATCAGGACCCAGCAGTAAGTCTTCTCCCAAGGACAGAAGCAGGAGCCGAGGTCACAAGGTACCAATGACGTTGTGCCAAGAGGCAGAAATTTGCATAATGAGAATAAGAAAAAACAAATCGCATAGAAGACCAGCCTTCAGACCCAAGAGTGAATCTGTCTCTGTCCCTGGGGAGGGATGTATGGCTCTAAGCTCTCATGCAGAACAGTAGCTGGGACCACTGTCCCCTCCTATGACTTCATTTCTGGACTGTGGCTGAAGCCCATGTGGGCTCTCCAAGCCACTGTTCTGGGGACTGGTGGGATCCCTGAACTTAGAGGGGCTCGTGTTTGTTAAGCATATTTTGAAACTCTGCCTGTGTGATGTCCCATTTGGATCAAAACTGCTCGCTGTCCTGGGTTGTTCTTTGTCAGAATCATGGGAGATGCCCTGTCAGTCAGTGGGTGCTGAAGTGATTTCACGTGGCTCTCTCTCACCAAATGTGACAGGGTTGTGGGGTGGGGTGGGGGAGGCATGGGGGACGGAGGAGAGCTGAGGGTTTGGAGAGGGCTGGCAGCTGCCTGGTGTGTCTTGGTGAGTCTGTACCCGGCACTCACTCCAGTCCTGCTCTAGAGTCACAGAAAAAGCAAGAGTTACTGGACAGTCAGTAGCCTGGTGAGGTCCATCTGCAGCTTGATACTGGGCACATTTTGTAGTGTTCAATGGAGAAATTCAGCTAAGGACATCCAGGTGCCTGGGGTAGGGAAGGCTCTGGTATCACGTCAGTCCCTTGTCCCTCATGGCAGCTAAGCTGACATCTGGAGCAAGCTGGTGTCTGTAAAACAAAAGGTACAACCCTGAGACTCTGGTCCAAGAACAGAGAGAAACGAGTCCGTTTAGCTGTCAGACCAGAGGGGAAGAGTGTGCAATAATGATGACCGGCCAGCATCAGCTCTGCTCAGGTGACCGCATGAACCGGCAGGCTGGGGCAGGTCCTGTGGCCAGGAACCACTGTTCCCATCATCCTTGCGTATTGTCAAGGGCCCAGCCTGAACAAGAATTTTATGATTACCTTTGTTCCAGTATATCACGAAAAAGTCCACAGGAGTGTCCCCCTCCCTTTGGAAAACAGACCACAAAATGCCTGTCTTCCTACTCAAATAAATTAAAAGAGACTTCATTTTCCCAGTGGACTTTTTTTTTGCAATTAAAAAAACAAAAAACCCTGTAATTTGCCAGACAACATTGCTAGCCCCCTCCTCTGGTGTGAGTGTGCTCACTGCATGATCCTGCTTCTTTTACACAATGAGGCTTCGTCTCAGGCACACACCAGGGCTCGGAACAAAGTGCCCTTTAGAGCTCTGAAGCCCCAGCGGCAGTGCCGTGACTGACGCACGGCCAGGCGGATGGAAGCGTGGCGCGGATGGAGGGTACCCACCCGCTGGCTGTGTTGCTCCTGGGCTTCTGGAAAGTGGCTGGCGGAGGGAACAGCAGACCGGAGGGCTGATGCTCTGTGCCTCAGAGGAGCAATGCCTGCTCCTGGCAGGAGGAGGGTGGGGTGCCACCACCCCAACTGGGGCATGCCACTGTGCAGAGGGTCATTGAGCAGCTGACGTGAGGAGAGCCAGGATGACGTCACCAGTGACGGCTGGAGAGGCACCGTCATGAAAAATGACATGAGAGGGAAGAAAGGGTTAGCGAGGGAACACGCAAGGTGAGAGCTGCCCTCCCCACCCCAGGACGTTTTCCCCGAGGAAAACAAACGGAGACCTGGGAGCAGTGATTCGCAGTGCTAACTGGTGCCTGAATTAAACAGGGGAGGGCACTTGCCTGTGCGTGGGGGCTGTCAGTGTTCAAGAGGATCCCCCGCCCTGAAGTCCTTTGTGTCCTTGGCTCACTGGAGTCCCTTTTCTGTTAGGAGACAAAAACGGGTTATGAGTGGGCTCTGCGGCGTTGGAAACAGCAAGGGTTTCATTAGGAGGCAGCTGCCAGCTCCCTACTGTCTCCCTGCCTAGGACAGAGCTGGTTAAGTGAGAGTGGGCTTAGAAACTCTCATGCAATTGTCAAACAAAGCAACCATGACTTCGGGTCCTATAGTGGCTGCCCCTCCTCCCTGCTCACCAAGGGACCAACCCCAGGTCCTCACTAAGACCTCGTCTGCTCAGCACATCGGCAGGGCCAGCTCTCTGGAGTTCCAGCAGGCCAGCCCTGCTATTTTATCCTAGGGGAGAGGTCCACAGCTCCAACCACTGGCACCCAAACCCTATAAAACGCAGGCCTTAGAACCTCGGGAAGGATTCTGCTGCTGAGCCAACCTGGGGGGACTCTGCCATCCGTGGTGCAGTGCTTGCTTCCAACTGGAGGCCTCTGTGTGGAAGCCACTTCAGCTCCTCAGCACCACTGTGGGAGAGCATCCCCACCAGCAGGTGCGAGCTCTGGCTGTCACGCTGCTGCCGCCCGGTTCCTTTTCTTGTTCAGACTTGAAGGAGAATGATGGTTTTTGTTTTCATCCACTGGGCTCCACAGTGGAAGCTGCTCCTGAGGACGTTTACACACGTGTCTAGGATCCCCAACTCATCCTCACTCTCCTGGATATCATCTAAAGGACAAGGATGGCCGGGGCATTCAAGATGGGGTCAGTGTTGGGGTGACAGTTCCCAGGGAATCTCTCTTAGAAAGAGATCCGGATGGGACAGATGAGGGACCTAGCTCTCATTGAGGTATAGTCAAGTTGCTATCCATGTTGGATTCTGTCCCCACCTCTTTGAAATGGGGAGGGCTGAACAGGCACGGCACCATCCCAAGACCTAAGGAGATGATGGCTTCTTTTAATACTTGGAATTGGCTAGTTTTGTTTATAAGTAGTGTAGAGATGTAGAAGAAGTGGTACCCAAGCCGCTTCCTCAAGACCCCCAGTCAGGGCAGGATAGAGATGCTGCAGTTACTCAGAGCCACCCGGGCCTCCTGCAGAGCTGTCTGTGACATCCCGTGTTCCTGGTGACTAAGGCCCTAGGGGACCCTGTACTCGGGCAGGAAGTGAGAGTCATATGAAGGATGTTGAGACAGAGGAGAAGGCCACTGGCGGCTCTCTGCCAGGGCTTGGTTAGGTCTTCTCTAGACACCTGTGTGCCCTCCTCTGTGCAGAGGGGAAAGCCGAGACTCAGAGGCAACAAAGCTGACTGCATTGGATGCCACTCAGAGATGGCTCCTCGGAAGGAGATCCTGTGGCCACCAAGGCTAACTTCAGCTTCTAGATGCCTCATACCTGTGTCTCCCCCGAGAGTCCCATGATCCTTGCCTTGTGTTTCAGGAGAGGCCAAAGATAAGCATGTACCTGTTGCGTTTGGGCCTAGCCCTCGTACCCACCAGTACATGGGCAAAGAAGCTGGACCACATCATTGATGGGAAAAGATTTTTTTCTTCTGTAACTCTAAGCACCTAAGGAATGCTGTGGTCACACAGACCAGTTCATTTATTAGGATGAAACCACAAGAAAACGACCTTGTTCGGGGACCTTGGCATGGCCTCTGCTGGGAATGGAAGGGCAACGAGTTGACTCTTGGCCATGGTGAGTGACAGGGATGGTCTGGGGCTCGGGGCACAGCCTGGCATATTGCTCCCTTTTGGGAAGCCCCCAGAGTCAGGACATGAAGGCCCACAACCAGGGCAGTGGTAAGTGGATCCCTGTGTCTGTAAGGAAGGAGCCAGCAAGCCGCCCCCTCCCCAAGGCTGGAGCTCTGCCAGCCTTGTGGATTCCTGCTTTCCAAGACTCAGCTTCCTCGTTTGCTGCAACACCTGGGCATATTTTCTGACACTCCAGGCCTTCCTCACTGGTCTGTTCCCCCTCCCAGACTCCAGGATGTAACAGAAGTAAGGAGACATGTTTCCTACTTTGTACCTCCAAGATGCAATACAAACGCTCCTGTACACACCTCCCTGGCGGCTCTGCCCCCTGCGCTTCTCTTTCTATGAGGACACTGGGCAGATTGGACCAGACACCCCCATCCCCAGTGACTCCAGGTGCGTTGGTGGCGCACACCTTTAATCCCAGCACTCCAGGAAGCAGAGGCAGGCGGATCTCTGTGAGTTTGAGGCTAGCCTGGTCTACAGAGTGAGTTCTAGGACAGCCAGGGGCTGAGGCTGTAGCTCAGTTGGTAGAGTACTTGTCTAGATGTGTGAAGTTCTGAGTTCAGTTCCCAGAGATCCATAAGCCAGAGATGGTGGTTTATGCCTGTAATCCCAGCACTCAGGAGGCAGAGGCAGGAGGATCAGAAGTTCAAGGTCATCGTTGGCTACCCAGTGAGTTCATGGCTAACCTGTGCTATGTAAGACCCTGTCTCAAAGGAAGGAAGGAAGGGAGGGAGGGAGGAAGAGAAGGAGGGAGGGAGGAAGAGAAGGAGGGAGAGACGGGGGAGGGAGGGAGGGAGGGAGGGAGAGACAGGGGAGGGAGAAAAATAATATAATTTGCTCCTCAACTTTCTTGCCAGAGTCATCTTTTGAATTCCTGGTAAATCAGAGAACAAAGGAATCACAAATTACAGGAATGGAAAGAAAGCCGCTCCACAGACTCGCCCCAGGGGCTTCTCCAGCTGGCACGGGAGGGAGCTGCCCGTGAAGCTGAGTCCTTCAGCTTCCCAGACTCAGCCAGGGTCACTGTGGGTCAGGGCTCTCTGCAGCTCATGGCCACAAAGGCAACTCCACATGTGATAGCAAACAGTTTAATTAACCTCTCAGCTTTTTCCATCTGTGTGGCGGGACTCCAAATACTTGCCACTGGGAGGCCATGAATGGACGCCTTCCACCAGGATGGACCACAGCAAAGCTGCAGTGTCGTGTGCAGCATGAAGGAGATGGCTGGAGTCTCCAGGCACAATCTCCTTGCAGATGTGCCTCATCTGCACCCTTAGACAGCCTGTGCAGCTGCCTCAATACAGGGTAGATTCCTGGAAGCGTTACCCACACAGTGCAACGGTGCCCTCGTCCTGGAGAGTTTTGACTTCCTCTTTCTGCTGCTGGATCTCCCTTCTCCAAGGCAGTGGGGTGCTCAGCAGGAATCCAGCCTTACTAATTGCCTTTTAATAAATGGGTGATTTTTTTAAATAGGTAAGTTGTCTGTCTGCACTTAATTAATAGTGACTAGTTGCTGCTGCAACCCATTTATTTGAGATGCGCTCTTATTTCCGTGAGAAATCCAGCACCCTCCGTCTTATTATTTGGGTCAGAAAAGACACACAGAGCACATGAAAGGCTGGAAGGTGAGTCCTAGTCCTGATCTGCCACATGTGGTCACTGTGCTCAAATTCAACCTCTAAGGTTTTGCTAAGGGTTCAGTTTACTTACAGTCAAACACTTCAAGGCTATAGACAGAGAATTCCGGACTCCAAGGATGTCGTAAGTAGCTAGAAGTGGCATTGCCCCTCACTAGTAGCTCTAGAAGTGGCATTACCCTCTGGCTGGCCCTTTCAAGTATGGAGTAAATGTA